TTCAATATATAATTGTTTAGAAATCATCCTAGAGCAATACTCAATTATTGAAGGTGCATCATACAAGTGGTTAATATTATCTTTGTGATGAACTTTCATCTTAATTTTATTGGTCCACAAGGATAATTGTATCTTTTGATTGGCTTCGCTAGTAATTAATATATTGTTCTACAAATTACTTGTTTTTTGTTTTGGTTTAAGTACCATTTTGATCCCTCAACTTTACACTTTGGTACCAAAATTGTCCCTCACCTTTAAAAAGTATATCCTTAAACTTTCATTTTTGGTACCAAAATGATCCTTCCGTCAGTTTAATGACAGGTGTCACGTTAACTTGCCAGCAAAATCATATTCTTAAAAAAATAATAATTTCGTGGAAAATATATCATGCTAAAAGTGATGAGATGGCATTTTTTTTTCATGTGTTATTTTTTTATTTAAATAAAAATGAATTTATAAATTAAATGAATTTAAAAGTAATTAAGTTAATTAACTTTCATTTCATCATCTTCTACTTTCTCCTCATCCTCAGCCTAATCCTCGGCATCATCATCTCACCGTTTATCTTCTTCACCATTCTCTTCACCATCCTTCTCATCATCTTCACCATACTTTTCCTCTTCATCATCTTGGTTCCTCATGGAACCCGATGCTGGGTTTTCCTCCTATTCATCTTGGTTCTTCGCAGAACCCAGATTTGGGTTTCGCGAAGAACCCAACCCGGTGTTGGGTGGCAGAACCTAACCCGGTGCTAGGTTTTTTGAGGAACCCAGTTCCTTGAGGAACTCTGTTTTGGGTTCCTGGGTTCCTTAAGGAACCCAGATCTGGGTTTTGTGAGGAACCCAGTTCTGGGTTTCGTGAAGAACTTGGTTCTGGGTTCCTGGGTTTCTTAAAAAACCTAGGTTTTGGGTTTCGCGAGGAACCCTTGACGAACCTAGAACCTAGGTTACGCGAGATTCCTTGAAGAACCCAGTTTTTGGGTTCCTCGCGGAACAAACCCTAGTATTTCTTCCAGTAATTTCACAATTTTACTTCATTTCCATAGCTCTAAGCACGAAATTCATATTCTTGGTGATTGGTTTGATCAATTTTGAAGTTTGGGATGGTAAAGGTAGTTTTTCTTTGCTCTGTTTCTTTAGCTTCTTGCTTTGTTTGGTTGCTAAGAAAATATTTCTGATCCCCTTTTTTTTTTTGTTTGGTTGCTAAGAAAATTTTGCTTTGTTTGTTTTTGTTTGGCCTTCGGAAACTCAACTGAAACTGGAAAAGGAAAACAATTTTTCATGTGGGCCCCACAAAAATTGAATCTAAAAAGAGAGAGCAATTTGACGTGGAAAAACATGTCACCGTAGCAAAATTTTGTTTGCTGGGTTTACACATCATTAAAATTAAAAAAAAGCAGTGATTTTGCTGGCAAGTTAACATGACACCTGTCATTTAACTGACGGAAGGACCATTTTGGTACCAAAAATGAAAGTTTAAAGATAATTTTGGTACTTTTTAAAGGTGAGGGACAATTTTGGTATCAAAGTGTAAAGTTGAGGGACCAAAATGGTACTTAAACCTTTTATTTTCTTACACTGCTCTCATATATTTATGATTTTTTTTTTTTTTTGTTAGTTGAAACTTACTAATGTTTAATTTGTTATTCCAATCTTTGTAAGTTCATGTAAAAGCATACTTAAATAGTGCCGATAAGATTAGGTGGTTTTGGTTGCACTTTATCAAGAATCAGGGTTATACTCTATTTTTCTAAGATTGAAGATTTCCACTTCTAAAGGTGTTTCAAGTCTGGCTATGAGTATACACTTATGGGTTTGTAGATTTAGTGATTAAATTTCATTTTTTTAATATGTATTCAATTGTCAAAAGAGACATACTGCTTTATATATGTAATAGAGAGTTTTTATACTTTTTCTTTTTATTTTAGAGTTAATAAAGATTAAGTGATTTTTTTTTTATAAATTTCTATCGACAAAGTTAAATTACTATGATGTTAGACAAAAGTGATTACTGATTTTGGACGATACAGTAAGACCCCCCCCCCCAAAAAAAGTCAAATAAAATGCAAAAGCCTATAAGTTTTGGGACTTAAGTAAATAAAAAGAATCCTAAAGCATGTGCGAAGTTAATTAAGTATAACGGTGGGGGTGTTAGGATTTTGTGCTGAGTTTTGCATGGTTGTAAGTTTATGTCTTATGTGGTTTCCTGTACTTTTGTATATGGAAACTACTAAATATAATA